TCTATGGAAATTATTCAACAGTAGATTTTCATACAATCACTGTAATTTCTCACGTGTTTGCCTACTCGTCAAGATGGCATCGAAAAACCGTCACAACAAAAACAACTTTATTTCAGTATTCCCTCGTGAGTGATGGTATTACCTACATTATTCGTTACAAATCTGAAATCAACACAAAGGCTATGATACAAATTAGAAAATTACACAACGAAACCTGCATATTGCTTTTTGATGAATGATTTTGTTTTTCTGTTTTAGTAACATGCTAAAGGTGATTGTGTCTCGTAAACCATGTCTGTTTACACAATGGATTTCAGTGTATAATAGTATGTGTTAGCACTGTCAAAGGACACTTAAACTTGATGATCTTTTCAATGATGAATTATTTATTGATAAAAATATTATGGAATATCATAGGTATTTTAGACGTTAGGACAATTATAACATGGAAAATTATTTTAATGCAAAACGTCGACTTCTAAATGTGTATAGTCAATCTCCTAATAAAGAATGTAGATTAATAGAATTTCTTGATCATCTTATTCCAGATCTAAGCTTCAATCATTAAAAAATTCTGCCACTTTGTATGTTTACGACATGCCTGTCCACAGATTTAAGTCGACATTCACACTTTTCCCGCCTTTTTTGTGACAAAATCTTAATAGATCTCTTAATTTATTTTACAAAAGGGGTTTTGTTTTCGAATGAGTTGTGCTTCAATGTAGAAGAAGAAATGAATCAACGGTATGAGAGAATTTGGTTATTGTAGCTCTGGGTGTAAATATAGTGTGTCTCTTTTCATAATTGTAAACAATTTAAGTTTGATGGAAATGCAATTTTTTCTGAAAGAGATTAGCATGGCGGCATCCTTTCGTTGTCATATTTTCGAAATGTTTCAAGTCTTTTTCACGGTCAGTATTTGTTGTCTTTTTATATGAGTGATGTAAAATATAGTTTTTGTACAGCAAAACAAAGCAAGGAAGATTTCGAACCTCACTTCATGAAAGAGAAGAAAAGGAAAGAATTTGATGACTGGTACCACAAAAATATAGAACATCCTTTTTTGGAAAGAGAGAAATTGGTCGAATCGGGTCACCTCTGACACAATCGTTAATGAGATGTCATGCAAGAGAACATCGAATATTGTAGAAGTGACGTGACAATCCCGAGAGAAGCTTGGAAAGTGTTTTCAAACAGTTTTTACCTAAACACCGGCATCATGCCTGCAGTGGGAAATATGACGATAGCCTCTCTACGCAACATAGTGTGGCAATACAGATTTCTCAAATGCAATACCATTGGATTGGTTCCTCAAGGTGGTTATGTCAATAACACACAGCAATCTTACATCGCTCTCACTTGGTTGTGGTTTCTAGATATCTGTCATTACAATGGTGCAATGAAACATTTTGGCAAAGATAAAGGCGAAGAGAAATTGCGTCTGCCGGGAAATAGATCCATCAGAGTCGATGGTTACGTGCCAGAAGAGAAGACAATTTTCGAGTTTTATGGTTGTTATTGGCACAGTTGTCCAAGGTGTTGTCCTCCTCACGGAAAGCATGAATACAAACAATTGTCATTTCAATTTCTATTCAATCAGACTATGAACAAGGAAAATTCTATCAAAGAAAGAGGTTGGAAGTTGCAGAGTATCTGGGAATGTGAATGGGGTAAAGAAATGGAAGAAGATCCAGAAACCTTAAACTTTTTAAATTGTATGTTCAACCAAACATACCAGATGTCAAACCAAACTTGAATCTTAGAAAAGCCATAAAGGGTGGACGCGTGGATTGCATCCACATGTTGTGGGATAGCTTTGAACCTCTCCACGTACCTATGAGGGGAATGGAACGAGTGTTAAAGAAAGAAATGTCACGCAAGATGCATCGATATAACTTCACTCTACCCTTTTGTCAATAAGAACGGTTGTAATCCAATCGGACATCCTTGGATAATGAGAGGACAAGAATTCAATTCGACGTGACACATCCCATAGAATCTCGTTATTTTGGTTTTGTATTTTGCAGAGTTGTTCCGCCTAGAAAACTTTTACATCCAGTCGTGCCTCTTGGTCTGGAGTGTTCCGCGGCGTCCACCACTACCAAATTGATGTTCGTCTTGTGCAGAACCTGTGCAGAAAAGGGCAATTTTAAATTAAATTCTTGTGAACAAGATGATTTTGAAAGGAGTTTCGAAGGTGTCTGTTACCACCGAATTGGACAAAGCCATAAAGATAGGCTACAGGGTGCCTCAAGTGTACGAAATTTGGAATTACCACGGTAGACGAAAAGGATTGTTCAAAGATTACATCAATCCTTTTCTTAAAGGAAAACAAGAAGCTTCCGGATGACCGTCATGGTGTGATACACCCGAGAAAAAACAGAAGTATCTAGACGATTACAAGGAACATGAAGGAGTTGACCTCGATCCGAAAAACATTCCCGACAAAAAAGATGAACCGGAGTACAACAGAAACAAACTTTGTCTTACTTCCTTTGGGAGAAAATAGGGGGAAGAACCCAATGGAAAACAGAACAAGATGCTTCACCATGCAGGTGAATTCTATTCCTTTCTAGCCAATGAACAATGGATAGACAAGAAATTTGCCAGAGTGGATAGAGATACACTTATGGTTTCCTATTGGAATGATCCAAATTTTCCTTTGCCAAGCAAAAAGAAAGGTTCCGTAGTTCATGCTGCGTTCACTACTGCTTTGGCAAGATTGCAGTTGGACGAATAGCTGGAACTTTTGGACAAATTTGTGCTCTATTACAATACCGATTCTGTCATCTATACTTTCAAAGAAGGTCGTACTCCAGAAGTGCCCTTGGGTAGCTATCTCGGTGAGATGACGGATGAATTGAAAGGAAAAGTCATTGCCAATTGGGTTTGCGGAGGACCGAAGAACTATGCCTAGGTGAGTTACGATCCGACTAACACGTCTGATGAACAACGCAAATTTAAATGCAATGGAATAAAGGATTCCGTACATTCCGATTCAAGAGTAAATTTCGAAGCACTGAGAAATGCCATTTTATCCACCAGTTCTCTGGATAGAGAACAATGTACGATTGAAGAAGCAAAGAGGCTTCACGAAGAGCACCCACTCACGCGTGATCTGTTTAAAGAAGAACACAGACGGAAATTTAGGCAAGTAATGTCACAACTTATATGTTTGTGTACTTGTGCATGCGCAGAATGGTGTTACTTCTACGGACAAAGTTTAGCATTTGAAGGGTTTATTTGCAAGCATTGTTGCAGAATTCTGGAACAACGACAATCGATCTATTTAAACGTAGCTCGAAGGAAGGGAGCTTCAGACAAGATTCAAAGAGAATTAGAAAAAAACAGTTTAGAAATATTTACTTGTATGTATCGTGTTTGTTACCGTGTCTGGTTTACTAATTTTATAGATCAACGCTTTACAAGTTAACAAAGTTAAAATTCTGTTATGCCACATCGGGGTCAAGACACGCTGATGATGACTACTGTAGACATTGTCAAAGTCTCGCTTTTTTAGATTAACAATTGATGGAGCACTGTCCCAACTAAATGAAAATTTCTCAATTACTACATACAACAGTGAAGTCGCCAAAATTAAAACATTATATAAAGGAACATGGGTTGCACTTTTAGCTTAAATTGTCCCTGCTAAAAGTGTTTATGTTTTACGATAATTGTTTTTTAATTTTATAGATCTACGCTTGACGAGTTACTGTGCTTGAGATTTTGTGATGCCACTTTGTGGGTCAGAAACGTTAAAGATTATATCTGTTGACATTGTGTTCAACTAGGCTTTTTTCAATTAACAATCTATGGACCATTTTTAATCGCAATATTTCGTCGCACAAGTTGTTTGATAATGAAATAATACAAATTAGAAAATTACACAACGAAACCTGCATATCGCTTTTTGATGAATGATTTTGTTTTTCTGTTTTAGTAACATGTTAAAGGTGATTGTGTCTCATAAACCATGTCTGTTTACGCAATGGATTTCAGTGTATAATAGTATGTGTTAGCACTTTAAATTGATGATCTTTTCAATGATGAATTATTTATTGATAAAAATATTATGGAATATTATAGGTATTTAGACGTTAGGACAATTAAACATGGAACATTATTTTAATGCAAAGCGTCGATTTCTAAATGTGTATAGTCAATCGCCACAGGAAAGAACGTAGATTAATATAATTCCTTGATCATCTTATTCCAGATCTAAGCTTCAATCATTAAGAATTCTGCTGCTTTGTATGTTTACGACATGCCTGTCCACAGATTTAAGTCGACATTCACACTGTTCCTGCCTCTTTTGTGTCAAAATCTTAATAGATCTCTTAATTTATTTTACAAAAGGGGTTTTGTTTTCGAATGAGTTGTGCTTCAATGTAGAGGCAGAAATGAATCAACTGTATGAGAGAATTTGGTTATCGTAGCTCCGGGTGTAAATATAGTGTGTCTCTTTTCATAATTGTAAATAACTGTAGTTTGATGTAAACATAATTTTTTCTGAAAGAAATTAGCATGGCGGCATCCTTTCGTTCTCATATTTTCAAAAAGTTTCAAGTCTTTTTCATGGTGAGTTTTTGTTGTCTTTTTATAGGAGTGATGTTTAGTATAACTGTTATACAGCAAGACAAATGGCTGCAACGTTATCTGACTTTTCAAATGTCCCAAATGTAAAAGGTTTATTAATAAAACGATTTGAGTGGTATTGTAGATTATTTATTGATAGAGGGGAATAACATTGACGTAGAATTGACGTTGATAAGAACGCGATTTCTCACAGTATTGATGTAAAATAAACGTGGATGACCCTAGTCACGTCAAGAGAAAGGAGACTCACAAGAAGGAATCAAACGTAACAGCATACAATTCTTTTAGGGTCTTATAATAGTAGGGCCTGGGTACGAGGGACGGGACCACGTGCTACTACCCCACCAATGAACTTTTGCACGCGTAAGCAAGTCATTATTTAAAACAAAAACAATGTAAAATTACAAAAAGTTACATAAAATTATTTGCATCTTTAGTTCAGGAACGTGATAAAAACATATCTCAAGTTATTTACATATTTGTTTTTTCCAACATTTTAGATCCATTTCTCTGAGCTGGCAAAGAAATATGGGACATCCGAGAAGACAAAAGTTGGAAACATGGTGGTGAATGAATCTGTAATCAGAAATGATGTACATTTAGAAACCTTCAAGAACGACCCACTTCCACTTCCACTTCCACTTAAAAGAAGAATGATCTACTTCCAAGAACTCAGCTTCAGAAAAGCTTTAAGGGGAGATCACAACACCAGTGTCTTGCACAAGTGCAGCCATAAGGGAAACCTCACAATAACAAATTAAAAATGGAGAATACTGCTTGGGCGAGTTTATTGCTCCAAAATCCTACCACAAGCTGACAATGGATTCTAATGGTACTCTTGAGAAAGAATGTTTCACAGGAAGTGACAGAAAGATACCTTTGGTAGAAATAAGGATGAATCTTTTGAATGATCATGAGAAATTGGGCTTGGTAAGAGACCACTCAGAAGCTCATTACGAGGCTATGACATATGAGGAGCTGGAAATTCGCTTAGAGGAAATTGGAGTGTTTAAAGAGAAGCCTAATAGGTGGATGACAAGGGAGGAACTGGTTAGCTCACTAAAACACTTGAAGCGATCCCGACACCCAACGATCTGGTCTGACCACTCAAGTGTCATGAATCATGGCCATATCCTGTTGACAGTTAATACTATTTATGATCCGGCATTCTAGTACACGTCTTAAGAGCTTAGGGGCAAGGATGTCCAACAAATGGTGGAAAAGCCACAAATTTACCTCATGGCAAGGAGTAGAGACACCATTGAGGATCAGCTGTTACACAGCGACACCCACCTTGAAGACGTCCAACAGCTCACCACAAAGAAAGATCACCTCTTCCCACAATGTGTTAATCAGTGACATATGTCGACTGTTCCATGGTGAACATCCATCACAACAGCAAAGATGACGTGATTAGAGAGTGCAAGTGCTGAAATCTCCAAACAGAAGTAGCATCAGTCCCCTAAATGGGACACTAGTAATTCATGTAATAGTCACGAAATGTCCTCTAGGGTTATAGGTCATGAAGTAGTGGTCACAAAGTGTCCTCTAAAATCCATGATGGTGGATGGATGACGTCATTAAAAATGACGGATGATATTATCGTAGGTTGCTAGGGAGATGACATCATCAGGTGAATTCGTTAGAAGTAGAAGGGGTAAGGTGAGTTTAAACATGAACAAAGAAATAGTCTCAGACATGTCGGAGAGACCTGCACAAGCAGCATTAGGGGGCGATACCGGACCTATTGTTATGCAAATGAGTTCTATTGTCTTTCCAGGCTTCTGATTGGTTCCCGAAAGTTAATCAGGTTGATTGTTTGGTACCGAAGAGTATAAGACTTTCATGGCAAGAGAAAAGAAGGAAAGATTGTAAGTGAAATGACAATCAAAATCAGTCAACTGAAGGAGCCGCAACATGTGTCAGGTCCTACATAAAAGTATGGGAAAGAGAGAAAAAAGGCAGGGAAATGAGAAAGCGAGTATAGCAAAAAGGAAACGAAAATAAAAAACAAGCATGCAGAAGGTAGAAACATGAATTTAGGAAGTTTCGTGACTAGGGTAAGATTGCAAAATGCTGTAAAACGAAAGCGAATAATAATGAGTATAAACGAACAAATTAAATATTCAAAAATCAGTCAAGTGAAGGAGTCGTGACATGTGTCATGTCCTACCTAAAAACAACGCAAAGAGAGAAAAAAGGCAGGGAAAGAAGAAATCAAATAGAAAAGAGGAAACGAAAATAAAAAACAAGTGTGTAGAAAGTTGAAACATGAATTTAGTAAGTTTCGTGACTCCGCTAAATTGTGAAATAATGTAAAACAGTAATATGAGGGTGTGTTTCGAGCACATGGAATGAAGGAAAATGAATCAGAACACGGCAAGACTCAGGGGAACTGACATAAACCAATGATAGCGTGAAAACGTTTTCAAGGTATAGGAACGATGTTAAAACAAAGCGTCACTTCACAGAAGACTTTGCTTCCAGTAACAACTGTTTGATTTTCGACACGAGATTTCAATTTCTACGATGGCACATTTTTTTGTGACCTTTAAAACTGCTTCCACCACCACCACAGTGGCAAGGGAACCCTCAAGTCCTGGTAGCTTACAGCAGCTCGCGCTAAACGCTGTACAGAACCCCGGCAAGACAGCCTGACAGTTCCTGCAGCCCTGGCACAGCGTGAGGAAAGAACTGGAAGAGAACGAATTCACAGACAACAGACAAAAATGGCCAAAAAGAACACGCCAAAAAATTCAGGTATGTGATGCAAGAATTTAAGGAGGTAGAAGATTTGAACTGGACCTGGCAGTTATTTCCTAGCCACGTGGTCGCACTTTCACAATCAAACCAAGCAATCTTTGTGTTATAGAAAAACGCTAAAAAATCTCGAAGATTTTGCCAAAGCAGTAGGAATAAGACAGTGACACGGTAATTGCTTGTTTATTGTAGAACGTCGTTTGAAAGTATTCGTTTGCTGAAAAATGTTCGCTGGCCTCTCACAGTAATGTTTGGCGTTCAATTATAAAAAGACGCTGACTGTAATCTGTTTTGAAGTTATGTTTTCTTTCCTCCTAGAAACACACGCATATTACAATCATACGAGATTTAAACTGCCTTCTCTATGCCATGGCCCGCAGATATTTTTATCAGGAATTGTAAACGAAGGTGGAGGTTATGAATGTTTAAAGTCTAATAAAGCGAAACGCACGTGTAATCCATTCTTTTCTTTGTTCATAGAAACACCCTAAGGAATATAAGAATGATACGAGATTTGGACTGGCCCCTATGTATGAACCTTTTTATTCTGAATTATCCATTGTAGAATCACGCTAAAAGTGATAGAAGCTTACACAGACACAAATAAATAACGCTGGCCTATCAATGTATTTTGTGGTTTTGTCAAGAAATGCCTGGAAACCTTTTCATAGTGGAAAACACCTGAAAACATTTTTCTTTATATTCAGTTATATGTAAATTTTGTAAACGAACTGTAAGAAGGTATTTTTGTTTTACTTAGAGTGACCTGTGAACGGATACACATGTATAAAGAGACGAATTGGTCCGCAAGCCTCATTGTTTTATGGTTATCAGTGTAGAGGGTATTTTTTTATTTTCTAGACATGTTGTGAAAGATGTTAAACGTTGGAAAAAACAATTGTATTGTCCTTTTAGTAAATGGCTGACCTTTTCCGATTGTGGTCATTGCAATCGGATTTTTAAAATGTAATTAACATTGAAAGGTTTGAGAGTAGCATGGAAACGACAACAAGTAAATTTTCAGGAAGAACGTTGGTGTGTGGTTAAAATATATTGTAGATCGGCCAGTTTTTTTAGGTAGCACAACAAATGTAATGACTTTGCTCTTTTATTTTGTAGAAAATGCTTGAGTGAACTCAAATGTCTCCCTTGTTGTCCTTTCACCCTCTGGGCCTTTACCTACATCAACTGTTAATGTGAAAGACGTTTAGGTATTTTTAATTTGTTAATAGATGATTGGATAAAATTCCAAAAGTATGAACATTTTGATCCCATTGAGGCAAACAATCAATTTATGCGGGTGTATAATGCTATCCCTGATAGAGATGTGTTATTCCAGGCATGAAGGAAATGCCAGAAGAATTACTAGAAAGGCTAAACAGGCGTTTTCCCGAAGTACATTAAAATTGTAAAACGCTGATGTGTTTATATGTTTCCAGAACTATTTTACAAGAAATGAAAGAAAGATTATGCTGCCACTTTACACTCTGGACAAACACAAAAGAAGATGATTTAAGCGCCCATTGTGTACACATCGTGAGTTTAAAACTATGTATGGATGACATTACAGATGCAGGATACTGGAAATATATCAACGCAACACCGTTCCAAAAAGCTCAAATGCAACTAAAATGTTTTGAATTTTAAGCGAGTCACAGTAGGTGACTCATACGTCCTACTTGTAATGTAAGGTTGTGAATAAAGAAAGTACACTGTACAACAAAAGTGAAAAGTTATTGACTAGGGAGAAAGCAAAATCAACATGAAATAAATGTTGCAGGGAAAAAGCGAAAACAATATTAAAAAAAATGTTGTTGAAAAGGAGAAAGGCTAGACCGAGGAAATATATGAACGCAACACCGTTCCAAACAGCTCAAATGCAACTTTAATTTTTTTTTTTCATGTATCCGCGTATATTTGAAGAATTTTAGGCGAGTCACAGTAGGTGACTCATACGTCCTACTTGTCATGTAAGGTCGTGAATAAAGAAAGTACATTGTAAAAGAACAGTGAAAAGTCATTGACTAGGGAGAAAGCAAAAACAACATGAAATAAATGTTGTAGGGAAAAAGCGAAAACAATGTGAAAAAAAACGTTGTTGAAAAGGAGAAAGGCTAGATGTAGCTACAGCAATTAGCCGCACGTTTAATTAACTTATTTTTTATCCGAAATCTTTGTTTTCTGCACACCCACCCTAACGCAATTTGTAGATTTAACTAGAAAGTTCTTTCTAACGCAAGCTAGGACGCACGCGAAAGCGCCACGCAATTTTGTATATGAATGCAACACTGTTCCAAACAGCTCAAATGCAACTAAAATGTTTTGTCATGTATCCACGCGTATTTGAAGAATTTTAGGCGAGTCACAGTAGGTGACTCATACGTCTTACTTGTAATGTAAGGTTGTGAATAAAGAGAGTGTTTCGGAATAACAAGAAATTCATGTGTGATATGATCACGACTAATGACATGACGTAACAATTGTTGATTAGTAAGATCATTACTACTAGTTGCGAAACTTGAGAGTCACCAACGGGTACGTGAATATTATTCTTATTTTCGGTTTGCTTTAACATTTCTTGACTGATTGTAGTTCCTGCTGATATCTCTACATAGATTTCGAATTTCTTATATCTTCTACATTTCTGTACATTTTGGACGAAATAAACCATGTGCAGTATTTGAAACCTTGGCAACTCGCAGCTAGCAGTACAGAAAGTACATTGTAAAAGAACAGTGAAAAGTTACTGACTAGGGAGAAAGCAAAAACAACATGAAATAAATGTTGTAGGGAAAAAGCGAAAACAATATGAAAAAAACGTTGTTGAAAAGGAGAAAGGCTAGACCGAGGGTGACGGACCATGACCTTCAGTGACCCTCTGACAACGATAAGAAAAACGTGCACTTTATCATGCCTAAAAATCCAAGATGGCGGCTTAATAAGCTAAAACAATAGCAAGATGTCGGATTAATTGTCTGAATAGAAACCATAAAACAGAAGCAAAAGGGTGTAAGTCAAAGATAGAAGGAAATGCAACGTGACTTAAAGTAAGAGATTATATAGAAAAAACGTGGGAAAATCGAAAGCGTGCGTAGCTCAGCAAAATAAGACGAGATCTACGTCAATGAACCATGCTTGATTGAGTTTGTATGCAAATTCTGCTCAAAGGTCGAAGCTTGTGTCGGTATTAATTTCGCAGAGTGAGCGATAGCTGTTCATTCAGAGCAAGCAATTCTACACAGCTTATCAAGCACAAGACTTGTGAACGAGAGAATGGAAAATCAAGCTTTGGACAGTCAAATTGAAGGTAAGTCATCGCTGGTAACAAGATTCATTGAGTTTTGAGCAAACTGAGATTGAGTAAAGCTTGCTTTCTTTATTTAGTGATACTAAATGAAGGCAATGAAGACTTTAATGCTGTGGACAGTGACATTGAAGGTAAGACTAGACTAAGAAGGGTTTTGAAAGGTGTTAAGAGTGGGGGGTCTTTTATTCTAGAGTAAACTAAATAAAGAAATAACCCGAAGGGAGCCGAAGGTAGCGGACATAGCCGCAGGGAGCCGAAGGAATCATAAGACCTCGGGAATAACCCGAAGGGAGTCGAATGAGCCCGAAGATCACAAAACTAACTGGAAGTAAGCCAAATAGCTGGAACTGAGTGAAATTAACTGGAAATAAGTGAAATAAACCGGAAGTAAATGAAATTAACCAGAACTAAGGGAAATTAACCGGAAGTAAGTAAAAAGAACTGAAAAGTATCGTTTTCTATCTTTTATAGATGACTACTGGAGGAGGATATTGATGGGCTGATGGAAATGAAAAAAAAATGGCAAAAAAAAGAGATGCATCGTTAAAATCAAAAACAAGGACAACTTGTGTTGTGTGAGGGCCATCGTCACCATCAAGGAAAAGGTGGACGGGGGCTCACATTACGAAAATCTAAAACGTGGACAGCCAATCCAAGAATGTTGGGCACGTCTACTACACCAAGAAGCGAATGTACCCGAAGGCAGCAGCGGGTTCGAGGAACTGCAACAATTCCAAGATGTCCTCGGACCACAGGGTACCAGCTGATTGTCATGGAAACCTCAAAATGCTTGATTGTCTTTAAAGATGCCACATTTAATGATGCATCTCACAAGTACCGATTCTGTGGAGGAAATTCAATTGGATTTAAGTATTCAACAACTGTGTGTTGCTGCATGGCATGAAAGTTTGTTGATGTCTATGAGTGACGCTTTATTGCGTGCACTTCAACATTGGATTACAAGCCATGGGTACCCAATGAGATCACATTATGTTTTATTGCAAGAAGTCGACCCGTTACCTTTACCATTAACAGGATGTCTAGGGGTGCTTACAAATATCCCCATCTTTGCTTTCTTTCCATGGACTGTGACGTTATCACGCACATTTTTAGCCATGTTGGATTGGTTAAGCTATAAATGGCTCATGACTCAAATAAAAGCACCATGCATAGAATTTAAATTAGTTATTACACTTATCCACAAAAACAATCGCCATTGACGTCATCACGTTAATGGAGGAGAAAACAATAAAGATTGACGTCATCAGACTAATCTATGACAACAATAATCATTGACATCATAGTCAGTGAACAAAGGACTTGACAAGACTTACCCCGAGGACATGATGATGAAAACAATACGTGGCCAAAGCATACAGACAATCTCTGGGGATCGCTTTGAGTATAAATGTTAGGTAGTTTGGCTTTTTCAATCATAGCGTCTTGGTGTCAATCTGTGTAACATCGTCATAGCTTCAGAGTAAATATGGAAAAACAAGATCAAATGCGAGAGCAGAACATGAATTTGCATCTACATTTGCAACATTTAAGTGAGAGTGATGACTTTTTGAAAGAGTAGACATTTGTGGAATCAACACCGATTGTAGAGGGAGAGCATAACATCTGTCCGTGTGGCAAGATGGGACTAAAGGAACGTTTTATGATAGAAAACAAGATAAACGGCAATCACACGTTTGTGGGTTCGGAATGCATCGACAACATTGATACAAAGGCAAAAGATGTGAATTATTATATTCGTCGTCTTTTATATCAGGGATTGCAGGGGACCTACAGAGGCATGACTAGGAATGGTCTAGTCTTTCTTTCAGTCGATTCAACCTCAGGATTTGTAAAGTATCTACCTACAGTCAAGCATTTAAATCCGCCAGTAACAAGAAACATGGAGGGTCCATGGTACATCTCTATCTTCTTTCCCAAAGAAAACACTATGATTTATGGCAAAAAATACAGGATTCACTTTTTAGTTCAGTCTCCGATGATGAAGTCTTCAGAGAGCTGAGAAATCTTAAAAGAAATAAATCGACCGGCCTGGATAATCTTCCCCCTGGAATGTTAAAGGATGCAGCGACTATTATAACCAAGCCATTAGCTTACATAATAAACTTATCCTTGCAATCTGGTTCAGTGCCCATGGAATGGAAAGCTGCCAAGATTATACCGCTTTTCAAAAGCGGTTCCATGGTTGAGCTTGACAATTACAGGCCAATATCTATACTACCAGTATTGTCTAAGATCTTGGAAAGAATTGTATATAAACAGTTGTTGTCACACCTCGAGAATAATGGTTTGCTGTCATCTTTCCAGTTCGGATTCCGATCTAAACGCTCTACTGAACTAGCGGTTACATATTTTACGGACAAAATCAGGAAAGAAGTTGACAATGGAAACATCGTGGGTGCTGTTTTTATCGATCTGTCAAAAGCATTTGACACTGTTAGTCATTCATGCCTTCTTAACAAGTTGCCGTCTTATGGAATTAACAATAAGGAGCTTCATTGGTTTACTGATTATTTGTTTTCTCGAACGCAATCAGTCCAATTCAAAGGTGCTTTGTCAGATGCCAATCCCATATTTTCTGGAGTTCCACAAGGAAGTATATTGGGTCCGCTATTGTTTACTATCCATTTTAATGATGTGCATACGCCTCTTCAGTCAACCTCAGTCATCACTTATGCGGATGATACAGTAATTTTCACGGCTGCTAAAGATCTGGAATCCATTCAAAGGCATCTCAGTGAAGATTGCCACAACCTGTCTTCTTGGTTTCGTGATAATGAGCTTGTCCTTAATCTAAAAAAGGGCAAAACTGAGTGTATGATCTTTGGTACTGCCAAAAGGCTTAATGCATTGAATGGAAGACAACTAGCCTTGACTGTAAATGGAACACTGATTAATACCACGTCATCGTATAAATACTTGGGTGTAAACTTGGATTCATCCTTAAATCTCGAATCACATTTTGACAAAATGTATAAAAGAGCAGCTGGAAGATTTAATTTACTCAGGAGAATCCGACCTTTAATCGACAAGAGCAGTGCTGAGAAAATCTACAAAGCAATGATTCAACCTGTTTTTACGTACTGTGGAACTTTGGGTCTCTGTTGGTCACATTCCCGTAAGAGTCGAATTGAAAGCATTGAACGTCGAAGTCAGAAAGTCATTGGTGGAAATTATCAAGTCCAGACAGTGGAGAGTTTAATAAAGAGGCAGTCCTGCCAGCTTGTGTTTGATTGTCTTCAGGATAATGTCTGTACCCCTTTTAAAGGATATTTTACAAAAATTGAACACAACATTAACACTAGAAACAATGGGTGTTCACTAAAACTTCCCAAAACCAAATTAGAATTTGGACGGAGAAGTTTTGCCTTTCAAGGGGCTCTAGTTTATAATACTTTACCTCGGCATTTAAGAACTGTAAACTCTAGGTTTCTTTTTAAGAGTAATTTAAAACAATTTTTTCAATAGTATTCCATAATTCATAACTCTTTTCAGTCTTGTAAGTCGATGATTTTTACAGATTTTGATTTTTAAATCTTAGATTTCTTAGTGTTATTTTATTCTATTTTCCTTTTTCGATTTTATTTTTTATTTTTTAGCTAATTATGAGATAATTACAGGACCCTTTTGATAACAGTTCTTTTTATTAGAACTGATAGGTTATCCTGTATAAATATTCGCGTTATTATTATTATTATTATTATTACCGAGTATAAAGGAGGACGTTTACGTTTTACTGCTGTATAAATTTTCACAATTATTGTAACTAGCTAGTGAGCAAGATCAATTAAAAACAAGTCATGATTTGATTTCATGGTGTCTTTATACACTGACTGTTTCTAATTTATTACAGAGTTGGGTATATTTAGACTGCAAGTCAGTGAGTTCTTGCTGCAGTTGAGCCATGGTCAGTTTCTTAGGGTTTTTAGGTGTCTTTTCTGAACCCTTCGATGGTTTGTTCACGGTATCGTATTCTAGCTTTAATAGTCATGAGTTTCTGACGATAACCCTTCAACCTGGTCTTGACAGGCATAGTTTTTTCCATCTGTTCATTAGCAGCCTTTGCAGAAAGATCTTCTGCAGTGTCACTCATATTGGACATGTTACCTCAATGCAATGTAACATGAGAACGATAATGGTAGACAAATCCATTCTACTTATAGCCTGTGGTGAGGTCTTATTGCTAAGGTATAAGAGAATAGTGAGTGGTATTCTATGCGTCATTTATCACAAACCATCATGTGGGTAGGAGGTTACGATGATTGGAGTCCAGCAAAACAGCTTGAATGGGACAGAGATTTGAAAGAGTTAAAGACAGAATGTGGCGAAAAAGATCTGAATGATACTCCGACCACTGACAAAAACACAGTAAAGATGGACACTAGACCATGGGAAATATCCCCTGATATTCCAAAGCTTTACCAACAGATAATTAACAAGAACATAAGAGAGAATACAACCAAGATAATTTTACAGAGTTATTGTTGCACATATCTCGATAAGCCATGTGAAGTAGAGTTTTTACCTGGAACACATGTTACAGAGGTTTTTAAAAAACTCATGAGGCTGATAGAAACAGAAATAAACAAAAAGATTGGCTATAAGACTGAATGGCATGGAAGCTTCCTGACGAGACTGATATTTGAGGATGAAGGCCGACTATGTAAAGTTATGAAACACTCTGCAACTAACATTGTCAACTGTGAAAAAGTCTCCAACTAACATTGCAACGTGTTGAAAAACTCTGCAACAAAGATTATAACATGTTGAAAAAGTCAGCGACCAAAAAAACTGAAAAAAGCTGCAAATAAAATTGTTATCAGTATCTCACTGTGATTTTACTCTGTAGCAGTTTCATCGACCTCATTGACCCCACATCGACCCCACATCAACCCAGAGTTGAAGTGAATTGAAGCGAAAGGTATAAATAAGATGAGACTTTGTGGAAAAGTGACTAGCTCTGATAAGACGCCGAAGATTCAACATGCCTTATCTAAACAGACGAAATTGTCTAATCTGTTGTAAGTCAGGTCTACTATACTTATATGTGTAAACGAAGCAATCCAATCACACATGAGGGTAAGAATAGAGTCCCGTCCCCTGTACCTGAGCGCATGCGTAGTAAGAAAAGAAAAGAAAAACATTGCAGAAAGGGAAAATAAGAATAGCAAAGACCAGCAAGACATTTTAATAAAGTGGTAGAAAAGTTTGTGGGGAAATAGGAGAGTGGTTGTGTTTAGGATAAAGTTGTAATTAGAAATGTAATTACATATTCAAAAATCAGTCAAGTGAAGTAGTCACAACAAGTGTATTTCCTAGCTTTTAGGTAATGCAAAAGTGAAAAAGTTACGGAGATAAGAAAGTCACTGTTAGAATAAGTAAAAGAAACGAAAAAGAAACGTGTAGAAAGTAAAAACGGGAGTTTAATAGAACATGTGCTTAGAGTAAGATTGCAAAATAATAGAGAACATTTGCTGTATGCAAATTGTAGGGTGTGTTGGAAGCACATGGAAGAAGGGAAGCGAATCAAAAAGATAAAGGACCTGAGGGAAAGCAAAATAAACTAATGAACGCGCAAAGGTGTGTTGAATGTATAGGAATAACGCTAAAACGAAACACCATTTCACTTATCTCAGTTAGTGAACGGTGTTCGAGAGTTCTAGTTTCTAGTAAGTCACTTAAGATGGAATTCTCTCCCATGAAACCACTACCGCCACTTCACAGAGAGCCTAGAGAGCAGAGAAGTCCTGCAACATTAGAAGCATTAGTCCTGTTAGACGTGCCTAATCCAGGTGAAGCCACCCAGGAAAACCTGCCCCCCTGCCACAGTGTCAGAATAAAACTCGAAGCACACGAATTTGAGGAGTCTAGACAAGAAAGTAAACAAGAACACCAAAAGAAATTCAGGTAGGTCATGAAAGAATTGAAGTTTGAATAGTTTTTCCTAACCGAGCCGTTGCTGTGTTATAGTCAAATGTTGTTGTATAGAATCACACTAAACAAACTATTTTGCAAGGTTTGCACACCGTAGTCATTATCTTATCTAATCATGTTGTTTTCCTTTCTAGACAAACGCTGCATGCCATTAGAAGTCTTCCTCTCTGCCGGTATACAGACTGGGTGTTTAATAACGAAGATTGCCAGTGTAATGTTCGATTAGGAATTATGAGATTATTAATCGATGATTTTATAAACGATCGAGAGTTTAATCCGTTGCGAGCATTGTATAAGTTTGAACAAGTATATCGAAATATTCCTTTCGCCCGGTTAATATTATTTCCAAATGTTACTGAAGAGGACTTAGAGTAAATCAGTAGGCAGAAGTATTCAGTATTTTGAGAAAGGAATAAAAGGATTGTAAAAAGAACAGTGAAAAGTGATTGACTTGGGAAAAGGGTAAAAAGTATGAGAAATAATTGATGTTAGGGGAAGCGGGAAAAAGTGCGAAACCAAAATGAACTTAAATGCTGTCTAGTAAAGCGGGAAAACAGCGGGAAAACAGCGAAAATAAAAAAAACAACAACAAAAGGGAGCTAGGAAAAACGTGCAGTCGAACATGCATTCAGTTCACAGGTTAATTACTTAGACAATACCAAGATGGCTGCTTAATCCCCAGAATGGAAAACAAGATGGCCGCTTAATCACTTATTAGAAGGCAAGATTTTCACTTAACCCCTTAAAACCGTAACCATCCACAATATTAAAAGAATACTTGAAGCGGAAGCGAAAAAACAAACATGACAGCATTAGAGAAAGAAATGTTGGAATGTAAAATAGCAAAACGTGCAGTCAATCATTCAGTCAAACAATATGGAGGGTTAATTACCAAAACAATACCAAGATGGCCGCTTAAGACAGAGAGAAATAAACGTGACTTGAAGCAACAGAAATAATGTAAAACGTGGGAAGAAAGTGAACATGCACCTTAGCACGATCAATAAAGTATTTACGGAAAAATAAATGCGTCATAGAACATGCCTAGCTCAGCGAAATGAACATCGATTGATGTCAATGAACCATAGTTGGTTGAGTTTGTATTCAAATTCTGCTCAAAGGTCGATTGGCTTTGATCCAAAGATTGTGTATGAATAAGGTTGAAAGAACTAAAATAAAATTGTGTTAAACACGAGTGCTTGAAAGGTCTCGTACATTTTACTATGACGGACCATAGAGGAAACACCTTTTTAACGTAGAGTGCAAATACTACTGCGAACGATTTTTGTAGGCATAAAACATACACAACGTTATGAGGGCTAAGAGCCATGAAAGTTTTAGACAACCCACCTTAGCGAAGTGCTCAACGAAAAGCGAAATAGCGTGCGAACAGAGATTGAGCAATCGATTTACACCTGGTGTTAGCTTTGCAATTTTAACCCTGAGGTATTAAATAGTGATCTATTATCTGCTTTTTAAAAAATACGGTTTGTAGACAATGTTTTACGGCTAGCAGCTATTTTAGAGCCACGTTCTAACGGGCAAAACCTTTCAGAAGTACTTGGAACAAGCTATCATTATTCATTATCGCTTTGGCCTGCGTTCCCAGACTATTAAATTTGACCTTGCAATTTTTTACAGTTTTATTTGCCTACACATTGAAACGGAAGAGACAAACAGTTTTAAAAATAGCGAATGCATAGGGCAGTGGCAAGATGGTGCAGGGCACACCACAGGCAAGGAAATGGAAACTGCATTTCAATATCTTGAAACATGTGGTTTGACAACAAAAAATACGACACAGGCAGGTTTGAATAACAAGCACAAGTTGCTTAAAAGGACACAAATTTATACTTAGTTCCTTCTGAATAGACCCCCACCCACTTGTGGGTCACACTATTGCTACCTATAGTTTGTGCTCAATAAATTGTTGTTGCTTATTCTCTTCACGGAGGTACGATACTATGAAATGGACGCTTTATGCAAGTGCATGCTTTGTCTGGGCCTCAAGATAACTGATACCTACCAACATGAAATCCTTATTTTCTGGCATTATAGACAGCCCTGCCATATTTACTTTTACACTTTTTTCGTAATCTTGTAACATTAATTAAAGCTTGTGCTCATGTTACTGTGCAAATGAAAAAAACATCAAACCAGAAACGTTTTGGTTTGGTTTTGACCAGAAAATAAATAACTTAACTTAAACAAGTTCTTAAACAAACATGGAGTCATTAAGTTTGAAACCTAAAACACTCATTGTAGTGACGGAGATTGTACACTTTAAAATAATTTATTACTTATTACAAACCTCTTTCAAATATGACGCAAAACAAATTCTTTCAGAGGAAGCAGTGTGGCATATGTTAGCCCAATGGTTCTTTGTGACTACGTTCTTGTGGTACTTTTTTTTTACTGTAGTTAGAAAGTAACTTCACGTTAGTTTAACTTTTTGTATCCTTTTTGTAGATCATATCATAGTAAATAAGGCTTTTTGACGGCTGATAGGGGACTATGGCCATGACATCACCTAATGATGAACACATTCTGGGCAGGCAGCCATACATTCTGGTTTGGTGGAAAGTAGGAGCATGGGCCAAGGATGAGATGGAGCTGTTCTTCACACTTTAGGAGGTGTCTGGGAAGCAACAAGAAGTGATGAAGTGCTGTTTGAAAATAGAAGTATCAATACTGGACCAGCTGTGAGTGGTGATGCTGTACCAGTGAGAAGAGACACTGCTCCAAGTGGGCAGACAGCTGGAAATTGTTCCCTAGAGAGAGAAAATAGTAGTCAAGGTCCACGGGTGGGGAATGTTGATGTTGCGAGAACAACTGTTAATAACAGTCATGTTAGTTAGAAAGGAGTTGGTTTATGGACTGGCAACAATCCTATTAAACGAAGAGCAATGAAAAGTCGTGCAAGCGAAGCTGGAAGTAATTCAGCTTGTAAGAGAGTAGAAATTGGTTTGAGAGAAAAAGTTGATTGTGTCGTGGCTGGAAATGACTCTGACACAAGAAAGAAACTGTTGTAGCATACATGGTAGGAAAAGAAATACTGCCAGAAACATCAACCCTGACCAAAGGGTTCTTCATAGTCATACAATCAAAGCCGGTTTTTCCTGTTTTATGTTCACATTTGTCAAGTCAACAAACATAGCAGCACTATTGGCTTTAGGTGATCCAGAATAGGACGCATTCCTTCCCAAAGGAATGTTTTTTGTCTTTCCTACTGCAAACCTGTTTTACGGCCAAGACTATGTAGCTGGTCAAAAGGTTGTTGTGACGATGTTGTTAGTTCCAGGCCCTCGGGGCCCAGGATAGGTAAAGTTCCTGGATGGTAGCGTGCTTTCTCTTCTGTAATGACATGTAGATGACAAAGCCTTTTTCCTATGATTAAATGAGTTGTGTTCTTCAGCTTCTGTCAAGTTCATTGTCTCACAACTACGTTACAGTTGTTCTCCGACGATTCAATCCCTGACATATAGTCATACATTGCCACCAACAATAAACCTCGCTGAGCCTTTCTTTGGATGAGTAGCGTTGTAACAATGTAGTGAAGTAATAGTTGAAGCAATTGTGGTCAAGAAGTAAAAGCAGACAACAGCTTGAAATAAGACGCATGCTAGAGAATGTACGTTTGAAAATCATTACTGTTTACTAATGTGAGATTATAATTATATATCAATAGCCGGTAAGGGCAGAAAGGCCTTAAAATTAATAAAAATTACCTTTGAAGTCTGCCTTACAGCATTCCTTTATACTTATTTGCAAATTTACGTCAGTATTTCATCCTTTGGATCCTTTCGCTTTGTGTTTATCATGTGGTTAATGCCTGCTATTCTGTTAAAAACTAGATGTACTGTTTGCATCATACCATTACAGCAGATGTAGTATATCAGGCACGAGATGCAGTATTTCATCACCAGATGAAACATCAAAAAGAGAGTTGAAAATACGATGCACGGGACACGTGAATGTAAATTTGACCAGCCATTGGTTTATGGTTTGTTTTGGTTGAGGTTATCAAATTTGACAACGATCCCGGACTGCATACATGCATGATATTTTCATGTGCTTAATTACTTAGAAGATGGTGTTGAAGCCCTTGAATCAGAGTTTGATGTTTGTTTGGTTCATGCTTGGATGTCACTCAAGTTCAGAAAAGCTGAGACAAAAAGCAAAATTTGAGTCCAAAAAACCGTTTTGAATAATTCTCAACGTTTTTCAAGTTGGTACCTTATAGAGACTAGAAAAACTTAAAAGTAATATCCAATCGTTTGAGATCAACACTTTCCAAATTGAGAGTTACGTCTACTTTGTTCAATAGGATCTCAGTCCCTAAGAAGGGGGGAAACCAGCCAAAATGCCCTGGCCTGCTTCGTATATTTTTCCCAAATACTTAATTGTCTGTTCGCCCATAACTCCTAAATACCTCTGCATGGAAAGTTGACCAAGATGGTCCAAGATGTGTACATGACTTTTCTATGTTCTAAAAGCCCATGTGAAATTTGAAATCGCATTGATGTGACCTAAGTGCAAGATTCTTGTTCCATTTTTTGGCAATGCATTACTTAGTAAAATGTATGGTAACTCTGCAATAAATAATAAAAAATTCAAGTGTGGTATTTGTTCAATGCCTCATGCCATAAGTGGTGTAGAAAGGACTGTACAAGGAAATAGTAAATACTTCCAAAATGGTATTATGGTATACGTCGATAATGATCTCGGAAAAGCATCAATAATACCAAATAAATGCTTTAAGTGATTTTCCAGTCATTTTTAACCTTGAACTTAGAGCACTTTTATACGGCCAGCAGATTACCTTCAAGCATATGATTGGGGGATAAATTTTGAAATGATTTTTTTACAAACCTCGAAGAAAATGTTCGGATGTGGCCAAGCATTACTACCCTGATATTTTTGTTCTAAAAAAAAATCGGTTTCTTTGATATGTTGTCTTCACATTGAATTTCCAGGCTTCAGAGGTTGGAAGGGGGTATTTAAAGGGACTGTGTCACGATAGTGCGCATGTGTGAGCTGTGACAGTAGCTGATTGTCTTTGAACCAATCAGAAGTGAGTAAGATGCATGTGAGGAAATTTACATAATTCAAGATTCATTGTTCGTGAAGCGGGAGTCTTCCGGGCGTTTTTGTTCGATTTTATATATCCCCATAATTCATATTTATTCTCTCGTATTCCTCAGATAAATGTTGCAGCTGATAAGAATAAGATTAACAACCCTATCCTGCTTTCAAACAAACATTTACCTACATGTATTTTTACGTAACCACACTAGAAAACCAGTCTCCAATCCGCAAACAAAAATAATTTGTAAACAAACCTTACTGATCTCTCTGTTTACCCTAGATAAACTTAGAAATACCTGCAAATAGCTCCTAACCGGTGATCAAAACACACAGTATAGGATGAGACAAACGTTTTGCTTAAAATGCCAGCTAAATGCGCGCAATAATAAAATAAGCCATGCGATGCGGTCGGCTAGCACGATGAACACTCTGCATGAACACTGTAGCTCAGTCAATTGATATCAGCTGAAAATCGTAGCAATATTTGAAAGCAATTCTTAGCGCTTCATCATAAAACACTTTCATTTCAATAGTAGCCACATAACGTATAAGTATAAAGGTTATTCTAAAGCAACAACGCAAAAAAGGCATAAACAGGAGCCCATCGCTATGGCGTAAATTTCAATTGGTTATCAGCAAATGAAAAAATTTCTTCCTAGTCGTTGTGTCGGGTGTTCCGCAAAACAAACGTTATCGATTCAACATATAAAGAAACCAGATGTTAAACGGAACATTCAGGCAACAATTTATTTTTAAAAGATCAATTCTTAAACATCTACGCTCATACAGAAAAGATACAAGGAACATTCCCAGAGAACTACATCAGTAAAGATCGCGCGGCCTGTTGTCAGTTCTTTCTGCTATACAACTACGGATTGGAGTCATAAATCGAATGCCTGTTAAAACGTTTCATGTTCGATGGATTGTTTCCTCAAACCTCACAAGACTTCCTGTACAACAAAAGATTGCTGGGTTTTCTACTTCTGATTCCAGGCACTCGATAAATTAAATTGTTGCAGACAATCGGAAGTCATGTCGCAGATCAGCTTCACTCGCCGCTGCGTCCCAATAGCAGTCCACGGCTGTATCGAGGGAACCCTTTTTAACTCTCTTTACATATTTATCATTTAAAAAATATCCGTCAAAGGTAGATCGTTAACTGGAGAACATTAATAGATAGAAATGAAAGCCAGATGACCACATTAAAGGCCACATTTGATCCATTTGTAGGAACACTGACAACAACGAACACGGCTTCGTACGGTTCTCCTCAATGAATTCAAATTTTCTCCACAACACTTGCACAAAAATACAAAATATGGCGTTTAAAACTTCCCAAATGGACCAAATAGCTCTTGAATATTGATACTATGGCTTTCTCGGGCGTCTCAGGGTCGATGGAAGAGGATTTCTTCACCAAAACACCAATCTTGAAAAACTGTTCGCCGGAACAGAAATCAAATTGCCGCACATGCGAAGAAGCGTGTCACAGTCCCTTTAACAACAATACCAATACAGTCGAAACTCCCATACATGACCACCCAAAATGTAAAGACTTGGTCACTTACAAGAGGTTGCTTTCAAGAACCCAAACCACAAGGAGCCTCTTCCGAGAAGAGGTCCAGGTACACATACTTTATGGAAGTTATGCCATGTGTGGTTCCATGTTGTCAATAAAGTCCTTTATATATTCTAACCAGCAAAGTGCACACAGCAAACATAGTGATCCAAGAATATGTCAAGTGGTTGCTCACAAGAGGATAAAAACACCAGGAAAATTGTTAAACTTTCAGGCCCAAAAAGTGGCAGCGGTTGCTTACAGGAAGTGGTCATTTACTAGAGATTCCAAGTCTTTGACTGGGAAAGTTTTGGTGTTTTGGATAGGTGGTCCTCAAATCATAAGCAATAATAAAGACTGTTTACAATTTATTCCTCATGAAGAACTACAGATTCAGTACAAGGACGATGAGGATATTTTTGTCAACTTGCGACTTGGAGATTCGTTTCATGATGCCTTCAGATGTGCCCAACCAGTGTCAGGTACAACATTTAGGACGCTAAAAATCAAAATGTACATCCACCAAGTGACATGAATGTAAGATAATCGAAACCAGTGTCATGCAGAATTGAATAAGTAGCTGTTATTTAATGTGGAGAAATCTAGTTTGTTAATGGCTACCATTAACATAAGGTGACAAAGGTTTCCAGATGTCTTTTTTTCGGACAAATGATCCCCGGTTTCCCACAACGTTTCTATAAGTTTGAAATGAACTGACCCGTGACTTGGTACCAATCAGCAACTTCCTTGAACTGCCCTTCAAAATACTCACCTCTAGCTAATATGTGATCAAATCGATTATCACACATCTTATCCTCTACACTTTTACCACAGATAGATCTTCCTCATTTGTTTATAGCAAAGCCTGCCATCGTCATTTGATTTTCAATAAAGTTAAGGAATGCAATCACCTGCACTTACATTTGAGGTGCCAGGTAAAGACCACATCGCCTTCATTCACATATGCTTTTGCCAGTGGCAACTGTTACGCGAGTCTCCGAATGTGCTCAGCCCTATCAAATAAGCTGTCAATCATTGTACCTCACTATCTGAATGGAGCACACACTTTCCTTCCCTATCATAATAATAATGACAGCTCACAAGAGAAGAGAAAGCAGTTTTTATGCTTCGATAAATAGCATATGTAACGTTGATATGTTACCTGTGGCGAGAAAGAGAAAGATAAAAGGTAGAGGAAAGATGTGGGAGGTAGAAAGGTTCACTCCCAAGAGAGAAAGTGCAACGGTAACTTGAAGGCTGCGGGATAAAATTAAGACAAAATCTTTATTCAAACACAAGTTTACACAGTTCAAAAACCATTGCTGTTGCTAGTTGAATTTACAAGGAAAATTCCTTGATGATAAGTAAAGGGGAAAGTGGCAGTTTAACGAGCTTCAATTTTCCACGCTTTTATTCGCTAACAAGGAACAGAATACTTGGTTTTGTGGGAAGGGATTTCTTTGTATGATGTAACGTGACAACCCAAAGAACATGTTTCGATCAATTACATGCAGTATTACAACGTCATATCTTCTGCTTTCAGTCATTATTCATTTACCTTTTCATGGGGGAGTATTTTTTACAAAGAAGAGAAAATCTGCTTCCAATTGCATAATTTTATGACCCAAAATTGTATCACGGTAACATGATCAGTAAAACCAATCTCTCTACAGACTTTGTTTTGTCCCCTGCTTTATATTTGGCTCATGATCGCTATTCCATTCTTATAAAGACTG